GCGGGAGGGATTGATGCTGGCCGCGGCCCTGGAACTCACCAGGCCCCCTGCTGCCATCTTAAGTCCTACCCATACACACGCACACACACTGTGAGTGAGCACCTGCCACTATGGCCATTTTGCAGATGGGCAGAGCTGAGGTGTAGAAAGCCGAGGTTTCCTCCCTGGCGTTGCACAGTCAGAAGTGAGGTAGCAGAACTCCAGCCCCTGAAAATCATGTTCTGCCTGGCCACCTGTCCTCCCAGACGCTGGGAGGATCCCTGGAGGCCGTGGCTGCATCGACTGACCTCAGTGTGGGACTAGGCTCCTATGAGTGATGAAGGTTATGACAGGACCTTGTAGCCTCTTCCATCCTGGCCCTGGCCAGTCTCCCTGGCCCCAACATCCAGTCTTCACCATCTACCCCAGAGACATGGAGGGTGTGCCCTTCCAGTCTGAACAGCCTAGCCCCTGCGCCCATACAAGGGCTCTATGCAGCGCATGAGGGGAGCAGGTGGACAGCCCCTGATAGAAAGCTTTCAGTGGCATCAGCCTCTCAAGGAGTGCTGGCCTCATGTGTGCAGGTGGGAGGAGGGGCCTGAGTATAGCTGGGCCAGTGCTGACGGGCTTTTAGCCGCTCAGCCAGAGCCCAGCAGACTGGCTGGCTGGTGCCAGGTGGTCTCGGGGGAGGCCTGGCCATCTGGTGTCCCCCAGGCTGTCTGGGACCAGGAGGAGCTCTGGCCCCAAGTCTGTGGCCGCAGCTCAGCAGGAGACTGGAGGTCTGGGTCTGACTGGGTACCCCCACCCTGCCTGGGCAGTTGGCCTCTTGCCAGTTCCTCTTGGGTACAGAAACTAGAGCATGGCTCTGGCCCTGAGAAGCTGTTGATAGTCATTAGCAAAAGACTCAGACCTGCTCATGCCCTTTGACCCTAGAAATGATCCAAGAGAAGGGCAAGGTTGTGTGCAGGAAGGGGGCCAGGATGCTGACCCAGCAAGGGCTGGCACGCCCTCAGAGCACAGCAGGGAAACAACAGCTTCACACTGCCCAAGCCAAAGGTCTGGAACTGTTCCATGTTGCCCAGTGACCTCGGGCATGTCCCTCCTCCAGTCTAGACGTCCCCCTGTCTAGGGTCAAGAGGGAGTACTGTGACCCATTAGGGATGCCTGCCACAGGAATAGGAGGAAAGAGCTCGGCTGTGAACTTGTCATTCCTGGTCTCTAGGGATTCTGCAAGAACAGATTTTTGTCTGATGCTACAAGTTCTCATCTTTCTAAAACAAAATCAGTAGTTTTTAATTTTTTTTTAAGGTTTGTGTTATTTGTAAGTCAGAATTATAGGGAGAGAGGAAGAGATAGAAATCTTCCATCCACTGGTCCACTCCTCAGAATGCTAGAGGTAACGCCGATTGGATCTAGAAGCCAAGAGCTTCTTTCAGATCTGCCACGTGGGTGGCAGGGGACCAAGCATCATCTGCTGCTTTCCCCAGGCCAGAGAGCTGGGATGGAAGCAGAGAATGTGTGGTTCATGCTGGTACCCCCATGGGATGTCGATGTGGCATGTGGCAGCTTTACCGGCTTATGCCACAGTACTGGCTACAGTAGTTAGATTTCTAAATGTATTTTTCTATTGCAAAATTTGCCCAGTTTTTTTTTTAATGGTAAAATTCATCTGTTCCATGACCTAGAAATCACCACAATTAACCTCTTGGTGGATTTCCTTCCAGTTTCTCTGTGTTAACATACAGACACGGGCATGAGTACTTGTAGCAGCAGCCACTGTTGCCGAGCACAGTGCTGTATGGATTTTCACAGACAATATCTCATTTAACCCTGACAATGATCCTTCAAGAAGAAACCATTATTTTACAGAGATAAAGAGGTTTGCAAAATTGGAGTCAGGTACACAGCATGCTGTAATTTTTTTGAAAAGATTTGCTTATTTCTGTATTTGAAAAGCTTATTTATATATTTGCTTATTTATGTATTTGGACGATCTCTCCCCAAATGACTGCAATGACCAGAGCTGAGCTGATCCAAAGCCAAGAGCCAGGAGCTTCTTCCAGGTCTTCCATATGGCTACAGGGCCCAAGTACTCAGACCATCTTCTGCTACTATTTCAGGCTGTTAGCAGGGAGATGTATCCAAAATGAGCAGCTGGGACTTTTTCTTTCTTACTTTCGTTTTAAATATTTACTTATTTATTTGAAAGGCAAAGTTACAGAGAGAGAGGTATTATTTTACATCTGCTGGCTCACTCCCAGATGACCATAACAGTCAGGGCTGAAGTCAGAAGCCAGGAGCTCCATCTGGGTCTCCCACATGGATGCAGAGGCCCAAGAACTGGGACCATCTTCAACTGCCTTCACAGGCACATTAGCAGGAAGCTGGATCAGAGGTGGAGCAGGCGGGATTGCAACCAGCACTGCTATAGGATGCTGGCATTGCAGATATGAGTAGCTTAACCCACTGCCCCACAATGCCCTGAGATGTTAGCTTTTGAAAGCTCACTCCACGATCAGTGTGGGTGAGGTCCATGACTAGGGTGCTAGTCCCCAGGAGACCTTGGCTTTGCAATCTAGCCCACTGGAGGGGGCAGGGAGTGGGCGCCTCTCCTTGTATTAGGCCTGGGTTTTGCAGCAGGGGCACAAGCGAGCTGTTTGAAAGAAGTGGAACTTGGGCCCTTGCACCTCCCTAGCAAATAACACAAGTCCAAATGCTCTCCTCTCTCACTCTCTCTAAGTGCCTCTGTGCAGGTATGATGTTTGCTCTGAAGCATAAAATGTTAGGTGACACTCCTGTCAGTCCTTTACCCCCAAGGGCTGAAGGGTTCCTGGAAATGGGATTAATCCGTTACATAATCCAGACATGCTGTCAGTTTCAGTGAAGTCCCGCCTACGGCCTGCAGCGACACTCTCATTCTGCCGGCCATGCACGTGCACACTGGTTACAGGATGGATGGGCGGGGAGACTGTTCTCCCCAGGGGAGAGCGAGTTGGCAGGGTATTTCCACAGGAAAAACTGGGACCAAGCCGCCTGATACACACCAGGGGGCTCTGGTTGTCTGTGTTGGCTAGTTTGCCTGGGTGACCAGAGTGTGTGTGTGTGTGTGTGTGTGTGTGTGTGTGTGTGTGTGTGTGTGTCCATTCTCCAGGCAGCTCCCACTTCCAGCCTGATTAGCTAAAATCAGAGATCACCAGTATGTCCCTGCCGGGGTCCCCTCTGGGCACCATCTCTGTGTCACCCACAAGTGCTCTCTGGAAGTCTCTGTGGAACTGGGACGGGCGCCCAGAGGGTTTGTCTGTTCCAAGTCCACTTTATTCTTGTCCTTTAAATCCCAGAACTGTCATCGTATACGCTGAGGACTTGGCCTCTCCTGCTCACCTTGAGTTGAGCATATCACGCATATCAGACTTAGCCCCTAGGCACTGGGCTGGGGGAGGACATGGCCTGAGCCAGCAGTGCCTGTTGGCCAGCGTCCTCAGATGTCCTTCGATTGGCTGTAAGAATGATCAGGGCAGGGCCCGGCATGGTAGCCTAGTGGTTAAAGTCCTTGCCTTGCACACGCCGGGATCCCATATGGGCGCTGGTTCTGATCCTGGTGGTCCCACTTCCCATGCAGCTCCCTGTTTATAGCCTGGGAAAGCAATTGAGGACAGCCCAAAACCTTGGGACCCTGCACCTGCATGGGCAACCCAGAGGAGGTTCCTGGCTCCTGGCTTCGGATCAACTGAGTTCTGGCCATTGTGGCCACTTGAGGAGTGAATAAATGAACAGATCTTCCTCTCTGTCTCTCCTCCTCTCTGTATATCTGACTTTGCAATAAAAATAAATAAATAAATAAATCTTTTTTTTAAGAAAAGGGCAGCCGAAGGGGCAGGGTTTGGTTCCTGCTCAGAATGGTTTGATCACTGTTTCCATGTCTGGCCCTGTGTATCCATGTCGAGCTTGGCATCTCAGTTCCCCGGGGCTGTGGAACCAATGTGCCCCTCCTGGCACCTGCTCAGGAATTCTCAGACAGGAAGCAGAAGGAGTGAAGTTTATGACATTTGAGTGATGCCACAGAGACATAATTCACATACCATAGAACAATATTTCCAAAGGTGTGAGTCAGTGGCTCTGGGCACGTCCCTGTCACCACTGTGTAACTCCCGAGTCACAGCTTCATCATCCTAATCAAATTCCATACCCATGAGCAGCGGGTGGCCCCTCTCCCTGCTCCCAGGTGACCCCTGCTCCCAGGTGACCCCTCCTCCCACCTTTTCTGTGTGTGAGCTCCTCTGGCGAGTCCTCAGGGACATCAGGGGTCTGCAGAGCAAGTCCCAGGGAACCCCCACACAGTGCATCTTCCCACTACAGTCATGCACTATGTGGGGTTGGGGATTTTTTAGGGGTGGAAGGGTTCTGGCTTCTTTCTCTTGGCCCTAATGTCTGTCTATGGGGTCCATTTGTGCTATAGATGCATTAGTACCTTTTTTTGGCTGAATAATATTCCATCATCAGGATGAAATCTGTCTCCGCGTTCATTACCTGATGGCCATGGGCACCTTCTGTCTGTTAGGAGTGGTGCGGATGTGAGTGTTGCTGAGCCAGTGTTGTGTCCGCATGCTATTTGGGAAATAGGATTGCTGACCCGTGTTAACGCTGGGTGTAGCCCCATGAAGGTCCCCTAGTGTTGCTTTCCTGAGGGACCGCCCCATTTTCCATTCCCACTGGCTATTGTATAATGGATGCACCTGCGGTGCAGTGGTGCCACCCCAGGTCTCTTCTCCCCTCCTGTGGTCCTTACGCCAGCCTGTGAAACACCTGCTGTGGCCTCCAAGGTTCCTTGGATGAAGCTCAGAGCAGTGACATCACTGCCTCCGGGATGACACGGGGGGGGGGGGCAGCAGTTGTCAGGGCCCGGAGTCACACCACTTTGGCCCCTTCCGTCCTCCTGTCTACTCAGTGATTGCCTCCTGACTGACCCACCCTCCGGAAGCCAGTGAACCCCCTCCCCGATAATTCTGGGCCCTGTCTTGCAGACAGGAAAGTTGGACCCCCACTACCCAAAGGTGTGTGGGCACCGAGGGAACGTCTTAGACATCAAGTGGAACCCCTTCGATGACTTTGAGATCGCTTCCTGTTCTGAAGATGCCACGGTGAGTATCCGCTCATGGGCCCACCCGCCACTGATCTTTGCAGAAAACTGTAGGATTGGGAATGGGGAGGCGTGCCCCAAGTGCTGCCCTGAACAATGAGCTTCATAGGGCAAAATGTGCCAGTGAACCCTTTGGGGAACTAGTTGATGCTGCAAGGGGCATTCTTACCGTGGTCCTTAAACACTATGCACATCTCACACACAGTGGGGGTGAGGTGTTCTCGGAGGACTTGTGTGCGGTCTCCATAGTACTGAGGGTGTTTGCTGGGGGGACAGTGGGCCAGGCTGCGTCTGTGGGGAGAAGAACCTCTGGCCCTGGGGTTCTTGCTGCTCCAGGGCTGTGTAGGGACGCCAGCAGGCCTGCCCAGTTGCTGCCCTCACAGACCCATCCCTGTGCAGCTTGGCTGCATGCCTGTGGGCTTGGCTTCCTGGTGTGAGATCCAAAGCGACCAGGAAGTAAATATTTGCTGAGCTGAGAGCTAAAAGCATCCACCTGTAAAACCTGTGTTTCTCAGGAGAAAGGTAGACCAGACTAACAGGGGGCCTGAAGGCCTGACCCTGGGGCAGCCAGGAGCTGCAGTTGGGCACACTCTGCAGCATCTTCTTCCGCCTCTGGGATTGAGACATTTGCTCTGCCTCGGACAGCTCTTTCTGTCCTCCGACTACTGCTCTGCGGGCAGGCCCAGCCTGGCCTTCTGGCCTTTGGCCATTCCTCCTCCATGTCCCATCTGAAGCAGGCAGGAGACCCTGCCCTGCGCTGTTGCTCCAGAGCCTGTTCTGGCTCCCTGGTGCCCTGATCAAACAGCATTGGCTCAACTCCTACCCCAGGCCTTAAGGATGAGCCAGGGCTAGAACTCTGTCCCCAGGGATATTCTGGGCGGGAAGGTGGCTTTGCTGTGGCACCCAGTGGGGAGACAGGCCCATGCCCATCCACCTGCCCGTGGTGGGCTGGCCAGGAATCCCCCAAGGGAAATGTGAACTCACCTCTGCCCTGGCTGGGGGACCTGGATGCAAAGCCCAGGTCGGCCCTGACCTAAGGAGAGGTGGGTTTGGAGAGCATTTGCCCACTCCACCTGCTGGCACTGCCATGCTGGGAAGGCAGGGAGATGGCCCCAACTGACCCTGCCCTCCTGGGCCATATCTCCTCCCTATGTCTCCTCTCCTGCCAGATCAAGGTCTGGGCCATCCCCAAGCAGCTGCTCTCCAAAAACCTCACGGCCTACAGGAAGGAGCTGGTGGGCCACTCGCGCAGGGTGGGCCTTGTGGAGTGGCACCCCACAGCCGCCAACATCCTCTTCAGCTCCGGCTATGACTACAAGGTGAGCCCAGGCATCTGTCTTTGGAGACTGTCTTTACAAACACATTCCTTCTCACCATCCCACATGAGTCTGAGCAGGTGGGAGTGGTTCCTTTAAGAAAATATTTATCTGAAAGGCAAAATTACAGAGAGAGAGACCCTGTATTCACTGGCTCACTCCCAAATGACTGCAATGGCCAGGGCTGGCCAGGCCAAAGCCAGGAGCCAGGAATTCCATCCAGCTCTCCTAAGTTGTGAGTGGCAAAGCCATCTTCCACTGCCTTCCCAGGTGCATGAGTTGGATTGAGAGAGACGCAGCTGAGACTCAAACCAATACAGAATCCACAGTGGTAGGCAGTGACTTAACCCCCTACACCATCAACTCCAGCCCAGACAAGCCCTCCTGCCCCTTCTGGGTTCTTGTGGCTTCAGGCCATCTTGTCTGATCGCTGGGCCCCAGGCTATCTTCACATGGCTCTTCCCCCACAACAACCACCGGTCCTCTCCTAACCTCCTGCAACCTCATCTGAGCTAACTCCATCTGTGAGAGCTGGTGTCCAACACAGGCGTATGTTCTGAGTTCAGGACTGGCTTGGGTTTTGGGAGATGCTGTTGGAGCCATCGTATCCTGCCTGAGGGTCTGCTCTCTGCTCCACTGGCTGCTGGGGAGCTCTGGGCCCCCATGGATGGTGAAAGCCCTGTCCAGGAGAGCTGCATTCTAACCAGCTCTGCCTCTGGGCCTCGCTTTCCCAACCTGAAGAGAGTCAGAGCTTTGGACTCCTGCCTTCTCTCTGCATGGCGATTTGCAGAAGCAGTGGCGATAGGTAAAAGTGGAAGCCTGTGCTTGTCTCTGCAAGTGAGGGTGTTGCAGGTTGCAGTGTGCTCTACCTGCCTCCAGGGGGTGCTCTTCACCTGCTAGACGGCAGGGGAATGGGGCTTGTCCTGGGAGTGTGCACACAGTGAAGTATACAGGAGCCTGTGCAACTGCGGGCAGCAGCTCTGTTAAACCATGCCAGGTGGGAACCGCTGCTAACGACTGTTGGCAGACCTTGGATGAGCTGACCGCCCTCCCCAGGGCTCCACCAGCACAAAACCGAGCCAGATGGTGTTTTCCTACCCTTGCTAGATAGCCTGCCCTCCCCCCGCCCGCCCCACCCCAGGGATCCCCCTCCTGCTGGGCAAAGCCTCTCAGCCTGCAACCCAACTGACCAACCGAACTGATGCTCCCTGGCCAGACTGCCAGCTGGGCTCTTCTCCCGGCTGCCTGCTTGGTGAGGGCGGGGTGGATCCTGTGTTTGACCGCAGGGCAGGGAGAGGGGCAGGCAGTAGCCACGGCTCTAAGGGCTTCCCACCTCCTGTGTTGTACCATGCAGGTGATGGTTTGGAACCTGGATACGAAGGAGTCGGTCATCATGAGTCCCGTGCGGACGATCACCTGTCATCAGGATGTCATCCTTTCCATGTCCTTCAATACCAACGGCAGCTTGCTGGCCACCGCCTGCAAAGACCGCAAGATTCGGGTCCTCGATCCCCGAATGGGGACCGTCCTCCAGGTGCACACCAGGGAGCCGGAGGGGTCCGAGGAGCAGGAGCACGGGGGACCGAGTGGGACTGGGGGAGGGACCTGAGAGCAGGGCAGTGATGCCACCAGCAGCTTTTAAGGATGTAGTACCCCTGGCCTGATCAGTTAGCACTGCCGGGGCTATTAGCACTCTCTGCACAAATAGTAGGGAAGAGATCCTGGAAGGCTTTCTGGAGGTGGTGTCCCTGGGAGGATTTTCCAGGCTGTGCACTGCCTCACAGGAGTGCCCTCCCAGCGCCTCCCAGTGCTGACCACAGCACCTGTTGCTGCCACCCCCACCCCCCAGGAAGCCAGCTACAAGGGGCATCGAGCCAACAAGGTGCTGTTCCTGGGCAACTTGAAGAAGCTGCTGTCCACAGGCACGTCCCGATGGAACAACCGGCAGATGGCCGTGTGGGACCAGGTGAGGTCCATGGGTGCCTGCCCAGCGTGGGCTTCCACGGGCCAGGGTGCTGAGGATGGGCAACAGGGAGAATCTCCCAGCACTGCTCAGACCTTGTGCATTTTGTCAAGCTGCCAGGGGGATAGGTCAGATCCGGGAGAGTCCCCAGTGCAGGAAAAGGAAGATATTGAGTCTGGGGCCTGGGTTAGGGTGGGAGGGAGGCAGCACTGCAGTGAACACTCGGTGAGTGGAACGTGTGGGGATGAAGCTGGCGGGGAGCGGATGGAGGTGGGCAGTGTTGTGGAATGGAGCCCCTTGCAGGAGTTCCAGACAGACCCTCACGATCCTCCCCTCCTCTTCATAGACTGGGGAGAAGTAGGTGACATCATGAAGGGTTTGATGGGGGCCAGGCACCAGCAGATCCTGGTGTTGTGGTGTCTTTGAAGCGACATCTCCACCAGGGGGCACCCTGCAGCCGGGTCTTCAAGAGGCCAGGACTGGGAGCGGGCGGGCGTTCAGCACAATGGCTAAGAAAGTGCTTGAGATGTCCTCACCCCACATAGGAGAGCCTGGGTTCAAGTCCTGCCTCTACTTCTGCTTCATGCTGATGCCCACCCTGGGAGATGGCAGGGAATGGCTTAAGTGTGAGGGTCCCTGCTGCCACCTGGGCATCCTGGGTGGAGCTCCAGGCTCCCAGACCTTGACTTGACCCAGCCATGTGGGGAGTGAATCAATTGATGGAAGACCTCTCTCTGTCTCTGCCTTTCATAGAAGGAATGACGAATTTAAAAGCAAAAAGTCAAATGGAACCAGATACATCTTCTCCAGGTTAGGTCTCTGCCTTGCTCACACACACACAGCCTCATGCAGGATTGTATTTATGCATTTATTTGAAAGTCAGAGTTACGGAGAGGGAGAGACTGAGAGAGAGATTTTCTATCTGCTGATTCACTTCATAGATGGCTGCAATGGCCAGGGCTCGGCCAGACTGGAGCCTGGTGTTTCTTGGTCTCCCATGTGTGTGTGCAGGGACCAAAGTCCTTGGACCATCTCCCGCTGCTTTCCCAGGCACATTAGCAGAGAGCTGGATCAGAAGTGAAACAGCTGGGACTTGATCCTGCACCCACGTGGGATGATGGAGCTGCAGATGGCCACGCTTCCTGTGGAATTATCCTGGGGAGCACCTCCAAGATTGTCAACAGTGACTCATGGGCCTTGCTGGTCTCTCCTTCCCTTGCAGGACGACCTCTCTGTGCCTCTCACAGAGGAGGACCTGGACGGCTCCTCAGGAGTGTTGTTTCCCTTCTACGATGCCGACACCAACATGCTCTACGTGGTGGGGAAGGTCGGTGGCTGCCCCAGGCCTGCAGCAGGAGGCAGAACTGTGGGCCAGGCTGCTGGCTACTTGTCCCCTGTGGGAGAGCCCTTGCCCTGGGGATTCCTGGGGCCAAGGCCTCATCTGGACCCTCCCCAGAATGGGTGTGTGCTGGGTCAGACTCACCAGGTCCTTACCCACTTGTGCATGCACTCATGACTAGCAGGTCTGTCCCCCATGCAGACCCACTTGGGCCCTGCAGGGTGTGGGGTCACGGATTTGACCTGTATGCAGGGCTCAGGCTTCTGATGGCTCCAGGGCCAAACCTCATACCGCTTTGTGAGAATGAGGGGTGCTTCGGGCCATTGGAGGGGCTGAGTTTGAAAGCCAGGGCCCCTTCACCTGCCCAAGGCCCCTGCAGTCCCTGTGCAAAGAGCCTTTGCCAGCAGCTCGCTCCGTGGAAGCCAGGGTTTGCTGCCGAGAGTGGGGGTGCTGGGGGAGGAGGATGCTGTTGGCTGGCACATCTGAACACACCCCTGTCCTCCTACCCTTCCTCTTCCTTCCTTCCTCTCTCCAGGGAGACGGCAACATCCGCTACTACGAGGTAAGCGCCGACAAACCTCACCTGAGCTACTTGACCGAGTACCGCTCCTATAACCCGCAAAAGGGAATCGGTGAGCGCTGGGCAGGGGACCTGGAGGGGTGGTGTGAGGGGTCAGCGTGGGTTGGGAGCAGCTGTCTGGAAAGGGGGCTGTGCTTGGGTTGTACAGTGGCATGTAGGCGGCTGTCCAGGAAGGCTTCCCAAAGGAGGTGACGTTGGAGGAGCTGAGAGAAGCCAAGCACAGCACAGGAAAGAGAAGGAACTGTTTTAGGCCAAGGTTAAGTCTTCAGGATACTAGCAGGGAGATGAGAGAAGCTGCTGTAAAATAGTCCCTGGGGAGCAGTGCTCACCTCCTTCTTAACCGTGGTAAAATAAACTCACGCTAAGACAGCTAAATTCAAGGTAAGGAGTTGGAGAAAGAGAGAGAGGGCTGGAAAGCTGCAGGGGCTGGAGGGTAGCCTAGCAGTTTAGACCACTCCCCCACACTGGCGTACCTGGGCTCAAGGCCCAGCTCCATCTGCTGACTCCATCTGCCATTAGTGCCTGCCCACTCCCACTTGGACACTTGAATTGGGTTTCCAACTTGCCCAGTTCCAGCCATGGTAGGCATTTGAAGAGTGGACCAGCAGATAAGAGCTTTCTGTCTCTAATTAATTAATTATCTTTTTAAAAAAAGAAGCTAGGGGCTGGCACCATGGCCTAGGAGGCTAGGCCTCTACCAGCCACACTGATACCCCATGTGGTTTGAGTCCCAGCTGCTCCAGTTCTCATCCAGCTCTCTGCTTATGGCCTGGGAAAACAGCAGAAGATGGCCCAAGTCCTTGGGACCCTACACCCATGTGGCAGACCTAGAAGAAGCTCCTGGCTTTGGAGTGGCTCAACTCCAGCCGTTGCAGCCATTTGGGGAGCAAACCAGTGGATAAAAGACCTTGCTCTCTGTCTCACCTTCTCTCTTGAATTCCAAAAATTTATACATATAAGCTAGAACAGCTGTTCGAAGGTACTTGAAAAAGTTTATGGAAAATGGAATGGAAAGATGAGCCGGGGCAGGTGTTGTGGTTTGGCACGTTAAGTTGCTGCCTGGGACCCCTGAATCCTGTATCAGAATGCTGGTTTGAGTTCCAACTACTCTGCTTCCACTCCAGCTCGCTGACAGTGCACCCTGGGAGGCAGCGGAAGAGGCCGCTGTGCTTGGGCCCCTTGTCACTCATGTGAGAGACCTAGGTGGAGTTCCTGGCTCCTGGCTTTGAGCTGGTCAGACCCCACTTGCTGCCAGTATTTGGAAATCCTTCTCTCTATGTCATTCTGCCTTCCAAGTAGATGAAAACACAGAAGCATTCTATGAAAAGATGAGTTGATTTTAGTGCAAAGAGATTGCAAATCCATGCATGGTTTTCTGTGTTACACATTGCCCATCATCTTCTCAGCCACCCCTGCGGTCAGAAAACTCGAAACATGGGAGCCATGAAAATGGACAAGGGAAGCTTGCAGCCAGGAGGCCGCCTGTAAAAGTCGGGCCGAGACTGCGTGAATCCTGGAGGGTGCAGAAGCAGGCGGACGTTTCCCCCTCCATCTCCCCAGCCCAGGGCTCAGCCCAGCCTAGGGGTTGCCCAAGAGACATGTGGGAGGAGTGTGGCCATCCCAGCTCTGCCTTCCTGTGGGGGTCTACACCACCGCCCCCACCAGCCCCGTGGGAACCTCTTGGTTTTTCTTTGGCTGTCTGCTCGCAGGTGTCATGCCAAAGAGGGGTCTCGACGTGTCCGCCTGTGAGATCTTCCGCTTCTACAAGCTCATCACCACTAAAAGCCTCATTGAGCCCGTGTCCATGATTGTGCCTCGCCGAGTAAGACCCGTGGCGACCCTCTGGGAGGACGGGGCACCCCGAGGTGGGGAAGGGGGTCATGGCACCACTCAGGGTGGAAGTCAGTGTGATGTCACAAGTGGGCCCGGCCCCGCCTCTAACCATGAGCTGCTCTGTAGGCGTGGGCCAGCACCCTGGCTCCCTGGGCCCTGCAGGGTGTGGGGAGAGCCTGCCCAGATGGCTCTCTCCCCCGTGGGCATACCACCCCGCCCCCCCCCTCACTGTGGGTCCTCCCCCCTGCAGTCGGAATCTTACCAGGAGGACATCTACCCACCCACGGCAGGGGCCCAGCCCTCACTCACAGCCCAGGAGTGGCTCAGCGGGATGGACAAGGGTGAGCAAGGCAGAGAAGAGGCCAAGCGGGTGGGAAAAGGGCTGGGGGTACAGGGGCTGCTCCTGGCTGCCACAGCTGGGTAAAAGGGAGGGTGGGCGGTCCCAGCCTATGTGTGGTCCTCTGGACCTTCGCAGGACAGTGTCTTGGCAGTTGGACCCTGCACTGGCCAGGACTTCAGGGGCTCAGGAAGTTGGGGCTCCACCAGATCCCTGCTCAGCCTACCCCACTGCTGTGACAACCCTCCCCCAACCCCAAGAAGTCCATCCATGTAGCAAGCCACACCTAAGCCTGTCTGCCCAGTGCCTGTAGGCCTCTATGTCTTGCCCTTGTCCAACAGCTCAGAGTTGGGGTTCACAGGGATCAAAGAAACCCCCCATGTACCCAACATGGGCTGAGGGGATCAAGTTGAGAAGGGTCTCACCTCTGTCGGCTCGGCAGCTGCTGGAGATGGAAGGTGGCCAAGCATTGTGGTCAGGAGGGGGCAGGCCGGAAGTGCATTAGACCCATCAGCTCCCCCCACTCCCTTCTGCTGGACCCTTATGGACCCTCTGCTATCCCCAGGATGGGGGTGGGGGCTTCCTGGGGCACTGGGCCAATACCAGATCTCAGTCCAATGTCACCTTAAACAGGTCTGGCCCCTCCCCTGGGTCAGTTCCCTGGTCTATATCCCTCAGGTCTGCCCCTGAATGTGTGTGTGTGTGTGTGTGTGTGTGTGTGTGTGTGTGTGTGTGTGTGTCTCAGGGGGGTGGGGGGCAGGATGCTTGGGGGAGCTAATGAACTTGACAGTGGCAGAGAGCACTGTGGCTGGGGCTGCCCTGACAAAAGCAGAACACCTGAGGAGTGCGTGGTGCTTGGCACAGTTCCAGGTCCCCTGCTGTCCCCTACAGAGTGGCATCTGCATGTTCTGTCCCCCCCACATGTTTGTGCCTGTCTGTGGGTGGCTGCGTCTGTGCCTGCACATGGGTCTGCATGTGTCCTTATGTGTGTGTCTGTGTAGTGTCTCCCACATACGCACACAGCCTCAGCATGCACCTGTTCACTGCTGTGGCTCACAGCCCTTTGCTTGCTTCTCAGGGCCTGTCCTGGTGTCCCTTAGACCAGGGTCCCAGATGCTGAGTCCCCGGGCACTGCCTGCAGAGAGATCCATGTCCAACTCTGTGGGCCCAACCCCAGCCCTGGCCCTGGATCGCTCGGAGAAGCTGAGCATGGTGGACGGCCGGAAGCCCTTTTCCCTACGGGAGGAGAAGGTACCCAGGAGGACAGCAGAACACAGGCTGGAGGAGAAGTCCTGGCTCACCAACGGCTTTGACATTTTCGAATGCCCCCCACCAAAGACAGAGAATGAGGTGGGCTGTATAGGGTGGGGATGGGGGTGGGGTCATCACTCCCACCCGTGGGGGTGGGGCTGGGGAGGAAATGATGAATGTACCCAGGCCTTGTGATTTAACTCACTTTATTTTTAATTAATCCACTCTCAAGTGGTAATTATTTCTAAAGATGTATTTATTCATTTGAAAGGCAGAGTTACAGAAAGAGAGGGAGATTCTGAGAGCGAGCTTCAGATCCACTGGTTTATTCCCTGAATGGTCACACAATAGCCCAGTCTGGAGTCAGCTGAAACCAGGAGCCTGAAACTCCATCAGGGTCTCCCACGTGGGTGGAGAAGCCCAAGAACTTGAGCCATGGTCCACTGCCTTCCCAGGTGGAGGAAGGGAGCTGGATCAGAAGCAGGGCAGCCAGGACATGGGATGCTGGTGTCCCAAGCAGTGGCTTTAACCCCCTGCATCACAATACTAGCCATTGACTTTTTTGTAATTATTTATTTATTTGAGTGGCAGAGAGGGGAGGGATGGACAAAGTGGCAGAGAGACAGAGAAAGAGATCTTCACTCCCCAAATGGCTTGCAGCGGCCAAGGATGGGCCAGGCCGAAGCCAGGAGCCTAGAATTTCATCTGTGTCTCCCACCTGGGTGATGAGATCCCGGGTCCTTGGGCTGTCTTGCACTGCTTTCTCGGGCACATCAGCAAGGGGCTGCATTGGAAGCAAAGCAGACGGGACTTCAACCTGGCGCCTTAACTCACATGCTTCATTCAGGGAAAAAACAGACAAGATGCACCCTCTGTGTCCCCGAATTCTGGCTGCACATGTGGAGGGCAGGGTGCCCTGTGTAAGAAGCAAGCAGTCAATTGCTGCCATGCTAGGATTGTCTTGGGTTTTCAGTGTCAACATATTTGTTTTGAGTTCAAAAGATGGAGAGAGGGGGAGATCTCCCATTCGCTGGCTCAGTCTCCAGCCTGACAAAGCTGGGGCTGGGCCAGGCCAGAGTCAGGGGCCCAGAACTCCATCTGGGTCTCCCATGGAGGTGGCAGGTACCCAAGCCCTTGAGGTATCCAGGATGCAGTTAGCAGGAAGCTTGAGTCAGACGCAGAGCCGGATTTGAACAGACTCTCTGGAAAGAGTAGAGGCCTGCTGACTGAATGAGCATTTCAGGACCTACTGTGTGCCTGGCCCTGACCCTAGGATGAAGTGTCATCTGTGACACTGTCAACAGTCCTGGATGTCAGCAGGTGGTAGCTAAAAATTAGCACAAGGGCTGGCATCCCCCAGAGTTTTTGTTGTTGTTGTTGTTTTGTTTTTATTTTTTCTTAAGAGGTATTTCTATCAAAGACAGAGTTATTAAGAAAGAGAAGGAGAGACACAGAATCTTCCATATACTAGTTCACTCCCCAAATGGCCACAGCAGCCTGGAGCTGAGCCGATCCAAAGCCAGAAGCCAGAAACAACTTCTGGGTCCTCAATGTGGGTGCAGGGGTCAGTCCAAGCACTTGAGTGGTCCTCTGCTGCTTTCCCAGGGGTATTAGCAGGGAGCTGGGGTGGAAGTGGAACCACCAGGACTTGAATCAGCACCCATATAGGATGCCATGCAGGCAGCAGCCCTACATGCTATGCCACAGTGCCATCCCCGCCTTCTGAGGGACACTGACTGGGCTTTACCAGGCATCAGCTATAGAACCTTGGACCTAGGGGTTAAGTTGAGGGTGAGGAGACACTTATTCTGACACCCTCACAGGAGTGTTATGAACATGGGGCGATATTGTAAACATCTCCACACACCATTTTGTGCAGCAGCAGTGGTGACCGTAGCCAGGAAGTTAGGTTCCCAACTCCACTTCTCAGTGTAAGAGAGTAAAGCTCTGAGAGGGTAAGAGTGACTTGCCCTGGGCCTGGCGCGGTAGCCTAGGGGCTAAAGTCCTCACCTTGCACCGCCAGAATCCCATATGGGCACCAGTTCTGATCCTTGCGGCCCTGCTTCCCATCCAGCTCCCTGCTTGTGGCCTGGGAGGGCATTGGGGATGGCCCAATGCCTTGGGACCCTGCACCTGCGTGGGAACCCTGGAAGGGGCTCCAGGCTTCAGATCAGCACAGTTCTGGCTATTGCAGCCACTTGGGGAGTGAATCAACAGACGGAAGCTCTTCCTCTCTGCTTCTCCTCCTCTCTGTAAATCTACCTTTCCAATAAAAATGAAATAAATCTTAAAAAAAAAAAAAAAGTAACTTTCCCAGCATTACCCGGTTCCATGGCAATGCAACACCCAGCTCCAGGCCGCAGCGTGCACCTGAAGCAGTTGAATCTTACCAGATTTAAGGAGACATAGCTTCTGTCAAAGATTGGCATGGTCACCCCCATCTTTGTTGCACCAAACAGGATGAAGGGACAGGAGGGGTCAGGGTCTCTGGCTCTGCGCCAGTGCCCTGCCCCTCACATCCCAAGACACCCCGAGTGACCTCAGCCCCCTGCTTTCCAGCTGCTGCAGATGTTCTACCGGCAACAGGAGGAGATCCGGAGGCTGCGGGAGTTGGTGACCCAGCGGGAGGTGCAGGCCAAGCAGCTGGAACTAGAGATCAAAAACTTGCGGATGAGCTCAGAGCAATGAGTCGGGGAGACCGCCCTCCTCGCCCTCAGGGACCCCCGCTCGGCTCCATGGGGAGGCCCAGGACCAAACTGCAAGTCCCCTCTCCCCCCCGCTCCAAGAACAGCCACTATTTCTATATTTTTTACCAGAAAACGAAAGCTCTTGGTCGCTGAAAGAGATTCTGATGGGATGTGGTGCATTTTGTTGTTTTTGTTTTTTGTTTTTCTATCTGCCTTCCCGCAGCACCAGTTCCTGAATTGAGTTGGTTTTTTGTTTTAGTTGGGTATGGAACAGGGTGGGAAGTTAAGAGCTGGAAGGACCCAGGAGCCCACCCTGGTGGTGGTGTTTGCACAGCAATCCGTGGAGTAGAGGCCAAAGGCTGCACCTCTGGTCCCAGATGAGCCCTGCACCCATCTGCTACATGTGTGGAGCTGCTGCAGCAAACGCAGTGGGTAGAAAACCAATGAGCTGGCCCAGCACCCTCCTATTTTTTTCTTTTACAAGTGGGGAAACTGAGGCCCAGAGAGAGTCCAGGGAGGTCTGTCTCATGGCAGGGCTGCCAGGCTCCTGGGCTCCTGTGTCTGCCAGGACTGCTCTGATGCAGGTCTTGTCCCATGGAACAAGCACCCGCTGCTACTGGCCTGAACTGGCTTGGTGACCTCTTCAGAGTCCTTCCCTTCGGCGGGACCTATCACTATCAGAGACCTCTGACCTTGGGAAGGCCACTTGTGGAGTGATATCAGGCTTGCAGAAACTCCCAGACCATTGGCACAGTAGTGGAGGGCAATGAACTTGGCAGCAGTGAATCAAAGTTCAGGCCAGACAGGCCTCCTGGCCAGTTGTAGATAAGGCGCTGTCCTTTCTGTGCCCTTGACTGGTGGCTGCCATCAGCCAGGCCCTGAGGGGGAAGGAGGGCATTGCCCACCTCCTGGATGGCCCTCCGGACGGGTGAGACTGCAAGAGCTGCGACATGGGGATTAGAGGGCCCCAGAGCTGTGTTCTGGCCCCAGAGTTTGTCTGTTGGGCTTCCTTTGTGGGCCAGCTCCTCTGCTGGCTGCTCACCAGACAACATCCTGCCAGAGAACAGGGAAGTAGGGGCGAGTGTGTGTGTGGGCGTGGGGTGTGGTGTTTGTTGCACTGCACTCAGGGAGGGGTTTTGGAGTTCTAACAGGGACTGTGGGGCGGGGGGTGGGGGGAAAGCTCTGTGAACAGGTACCCAGGGACCCTCCACCTCAGACCCCTTAGTTGAAGCTGGGGCCTGACCTGGCCTTGCAGGTGATTTTTAAGCCCCCTGAGTGGGGTGGTGGAGGTTCTACATACAGTGCCCAGTGGAAAGGGGAGACCCACTAAGCTGGTCCTCTGTATGTGTGTGTACTAAAGATGAAGAGGGGAGGGAGCCCCAGCAAAGAGACCCTGTGCCCCATACAGCACCCTGGGGGCACCCTTTGTTCCTGTCTGAAATACCAGCCAGGCTCGCCTTCCTGTGTGATGCCAGGCCCTGCCTGGGAAGTGGGGGACCTCCCCTGGCACCTACAAAAGCCCCCTCAACTGCATGCACTATCATCGGCTACTCTGACACAGGGCCAGCTGGCAGGAGGGTGACAGTCACAGGAAGACCAGCCTCAAGCTCGAGCTGACTGAGGTGGGAGTGAGGCCAGAAAGCCCCCCATGCCCCCGACGAGACCCCATCCTCACCTTGAAACACTGCATCTTTGAACAAACCTGTGCTTTCTTTTTTTTACATCTCAAATAAATTATTTAAATTATTTCATAGCAAGGGAGAGGGATAAGTAATTTTTATGCTATTTTTAAGGCATCTATTTTTTTAATACCATTTTTGTGTGTGTTCTTGCGCCTGTCCAAGTGGAACTACCCAGCATTCAGCCCCTTCGTCCCCCTTCACCTCCCGGGGCTGGCACCTGTCCTAGCTCTGCACCGTGGCGCCCCCTATCTGTTGACTCAGGAACTGTCCAAGCATGAAGTCCGCCCCCCCTCTGCCCCCCACTGGGAGATAAGCTGCCTACAAATTGTGCTTCCTGGAACAAAACTTGAGATTGTGTCCCAGCAGGAAACAGGAAGTCAGAAACTGATCTTTTCATAGGAAACCGTGCCTGAAACTGTTTGGATGATTGTTTTAATGTTTCTGAAATCCCTTATACCTTTGTAAAAAAAAAATAATAATAATAAAAGAAATGAAAGTAAATAGAGGTTGAATTGTGCAATGGAAAGAATAGCAAAATAATAAACATCTTGCTAGACGTTTTAATACATGAAGCTTTCCTTGTGTTGCACAAATATGTGCACCTGTTGTTGTGAGCCACACCCGCAGGCTGGAACAGGTAGGGGAGAGAGGGACCCGGTCTTCCACAGGGTATTCAAAGTTAGGAGACTGGGGGAAGACCAGGGGCAGAAGTGCATAGTGCTTTGCGGAGCATATAAGACTTTCTGGAGGAGGTGGCAGGCCAAAATCCTATGGCCCTGAGTAGGGCAAAGGACATTTGGGGTATGGAAGAGCGTCTAGCTACAGGTTTCGATTCCCCGGGCCAGAGCCCCGCCCCGCCTGGCGGAAGTACCGGGTACCCGGGACTCGGACGCACGCATGGCGGCCAGCGCGGCGCCCAGCGGGACCCCTGGTGGGCAGGACCTCGGAGAGCTTGAGGGGGCGTGCGGCTGGCGCTGCCCGGAGCACAGCGACCGCGTGGTCGAGCTCTTCTGCCGTCGCTGCCGCCGCTGCGTGTGCGCGCTGTGCCCGGTGCTGGGCGCGCACCGCGGCCACCCCGTGGGCCTGGCGCGGGAGGAGGCGGCGCTCGTGCAGGTGGGCAGCGCGGGGGCTGAGGGATGGGGTAACGGCCACTAAAGCTAACGGTCCCTTCTCCCCGCGGCCGTTACACGGTTGGGCAGCGGCAGGCACCCGACGGGTCCAAGGCAGGGTAGAGAGGATGAGGGGCCGTCGGGTATGCCGCTGAAAAGGTAAGTTTAGACTTAAGCACGCCCAGGTGGAGACCCTAGTTGGCCGCAGTGAGCTCGCCGCTGGGAGTAACTTGGTTAACCGTGGGAGTACAGACAGCTAGCTACCAGAGCCGGCAAGGGGCTCCACAGACCAGCGTGTCCCCACAGGGATGGTTTCCAGAGATGACTCAAGGGTCTCCCCCAGTTGGCCCTTTGTCCGCCTGTCCTCTCCCTCCTTGTGCATGCACCCTTCGTCCATGCATCCATTAAACATCGAGCAGCTGCGCTGTGAGTCATGGATCAGATCCTAACCACACCTGTGGGAGTTGGGGGTGGGGGTGGGCAGAAGTGACAGTTGCCGTGTGTTGGTAAGGGGGAGGCCAAACAAAAACCAAAGCCAGGAAGCTTAAGACTTCTCAGAGAAGGGGTCGCGGGATATGGCCCCACAGGGTGACCCCGGGTTCCAGCAGATGCCAAGCTGGAACAAGCAGCACCTTGGGTCTGGAACTCAGGCGCTTGGAATGATGGGCATCCTTGGGGTAGGATTTGCAAGCTTGGGAATCACAATGGAGTCAGGCAGTTGCAACTGGAGCTTGTACTGGAGTCATGGTCATTGCAACACACTCCTCTCTGCCCTTGCCTAGAACAAAACTTGGCATACAGTGGCAAATGCTTGTTAAGTAATAAAAGAGTACTACTGTCCTCCCAGCCTTGCTGTGTGACATCTCCTCGCACTGCACCCTCAGCAAGCCTGTGAGACCACCCAAAATTGACAGTGGAGGAGCCGGAGCAGAAGTAATGCCAGGACTCTCCTCAGCTGGAGAGCTTCCACTCCTGGCACACCCAGCCAGGACACTTGGGGTCCTCCCCTTGATTCTGGGGTCCGGGTCACTTCCCGGTCATGTCTCCCACCCTCCCAACCCACCATCAGCACTGTGGGAAGCTGAGGAATGGAGCAGGTGCATTTTCAGGAAGGTCAAGATACAGACAAGGGTCATGCCCTGGGGGCCAGTGTGGGGAGGGCCCAGCAGCCCAGGACAAATGCCCAGCTACTGAAGGACCAGAAGGGGCGGGTCACCAGCAAGCCTCGTCCTAGCAAGGTGAAGAGAGTCCCACCCGCCCGGGACTCAGGGCAAGCCACAAGCAGCAGAGGGAGGAGATGGGGAGGGGCTGACCAGCAGGGGTCAGGTGTGATGTCCAAAGTAACCAGTTACATCATTACGACTTTCTACCCCCTCCAACTCCGCACATGCAGAAACTCAGCCGGGACTGTTTAAAGCAATTGGCAACCAAGAGACAGCAGCAGGCTGCTAATGTGGCCCACATAGAGGACTCTGCAGCGAAGCTTCAGGCAAGTGCACCTTCTTTGTTCTCCCCCCTCCCTGCCATCGTTCCACCACTACAACTCAGAGAGCATCCGCTGAGAGGTTCTCTCTTGGAGGGCCCTATCCCTCAGCCCTCATATTCCACAGAGCCTTAAATGCAGCTTAGGGAATGTGCTGCCGTGTTGGAATCAGTCTAAGTGCATTCCGCACAAATCCATCGTCTGCAACCTTCCCCTTTCATGTTCGTATAAATGGGTTCTCATGGAGAGGCTGGTGTTGTGATGCAGTGGGGGTGAGCTGCTGCTTGCTACTCTTGCATCCCATATTAGAGCCCCAGTTCAAGTCCCAGCTGCCTTTCTTCTGATCCAGCCCCCTGCTAAGTGCACGTGGGAAGGCAGCAGAAGATGGATGGCCCCAGGGCTTGGGTCTCTGCCCCGCAAGCGGGAGACTGGTGGAACTCCTAGTTCCTGGCTTCAGTGCACTCCAGCCCTGGCTGCTGCAGCCACATAGGAGTGAAACAGCAGATCTCTCTCCCTCCTCCTCTGTCACTCTGCCTTTCAAAGAAATATCTCTTTAAAGATGTGTTTTATTTTTATTGGAAAGGTGGATATACAGAGAGAAGAAGAGACAGAGAAGAAAATCTTCCATTGGCTCAATGACTCCCCAAGTGACCATAATGACCAGAACTAAGCAAATCTGGAGCCAGGAACTTCTTCGGGTCTCCCACACGGGTGCAGAGTCCCAAGGCTTTGGGCCAACCTCCGTTGCCCTCCCAGGCCACAAGCAGGGAGCTGGATGAGAAGTAGGGCAGCTGGGACATGCAAGACCAGGACTTAAGCTGCCAAGCTACCACACCAGGCCCTCAAAGAAATACATTTTTAAAAATTAAAAATGTATATATTTGAAAGGCAGAGAGAGAGAGATCTCCCACCCATGATTCACTTCTTTAATGTCTACAGTGGCTGGGCTAGACCAAGCCAAAGCGAGACACAATCCAATCCTCCCGTGTGGGTGGCAGGGACTCAGATCCTGGTGCCCTCCTCCTGCCCCACCTCCCAGGGTGCACATGAGCAGGAATCAGGAGCAGGGCCAGGATTCAAGCCTGTGCACTCTGACATAGGTGGCAAGAGACACAAGTGGCATCTTAACAAATGTATCAGCTGGTCATCCCTTCCTGGTAGATCTCGGATCCAGAAGAATCGTGTGTATTAAGGAAGAATACCATGTCATGTTTCAGTACACACGGGCGTTGTGTGCTGTTCCCAGGCAAGGCAAGCACATCTAACATCATTGTTTCATGGAGAAAACATTCGAAGTTCTTTCTCTAGCCTTTTTTAATATGCACAGCACGTTACGGATGGTTGAGTATGCATAGATACGTAGCCCACGCCTTCCCTCCACCTGCCCTCCCACTGAGGACTTAGGGTGGGTGGTTATTATTGAGTTGCCATTTTCATTGTGAGAAAAATTGTTGCATTTTTTCCCCTAAAGGTTTATTTTATTGATGTGTGAGGCAGTGTGACCAAGACAGAGAAAGAGACAGGCATATATGGAGTGCTGGTATCACAGATTGAGGCTTAACCCACTGTGCCACAATGCCTGCCTCTCCCCTCCTCTCCACCTCCAAGTGGATCATTGCATCTTTAGGGGCCTTTGCCACTCTCCCTGGGCAGCGGGAGAGGGAGGAGGCCCTCCCTGGTTCACTCCTACAGAGCTGTATGAGCCTCCTGATTAGCCCACATCAGCAGACATTAGCTCTTCCTCAGGTCAGGCCCACAGTGGACCGGGGCTGAGGCTGGAACCCACTGCCCACTGAAGCCCAGGCCAAGCTACACACTTGCCTCTTTGCCTCCATCTGCACAGCATTCATTATCTGCTAAGTGTCGCCCAGCCCCATGATAATGGAGATCTTTGTGGCTTACACACTTGGCTCCAGATAATTTTTTTTTTTAAGATTTATTTATTTTTGGGCTTGGTGCGATAGCGTAGTGGTTAAAGTCCTCGCCTTGCACGTGCTGGGATCCCATAAGAGCACCAGTTCTAATCCCAGAGGCCCCGCTTCCCCTCCAGCTCCATGCTTGCGGCCCGGGAAAGCAGTCGAGGATGGCCCAAAGCCTTGGGATCCTGCACCTGCATGGGAGACCTGGAAGAGCTCCTGGCTCCTGTCTTTGGATCGGCTCATCTCCGGCCGTTGTGATCACTTGGGGAGTGAACCATCAGACAGAAGATCTTCCTCTCTGTCTCTCCTTCTCTCTGTATATCCGCCTTTCCAATAAAAATAAATCTTTTTTAAAATTTTTTTTTAAAGATTTTATTTTTATTGGAAAGGCGGATATACAGAGAGGAGAGACAGAGAGGAAGATCTTCCGTCCCATGATTCACTCCCCAAGTGAGCACAGCAGCCGATGCTATGCCGATCCGAAGCCAGGAGCCTCTTCCGGGTCTCCCACGTGGGTGCAGGGTCCCAAAGCTTTGGCCCGTCCTCGACTGCCCTCCCAGGCCACAAGCAGGGAGCTGGAAGGGAAGAGGGGCCGCCGGGATTAGAACCGGCGCCCGTATGAGATCCCGGGCGTGCAAGGCGAGGACCTTAACCACTTGCGCCACCGCGCCGGGCCCAATAAAAATAAATCTTAAAAAATATATTTAAAAAAAGATTTATTTATTTTTATTACAAAGTCAGATATACAGAGAGGAGGAAGAGACAGGAAGTGGAGCTGCTAGGATCAGAACCGGCACCCTTATGGAATCCTGGCGTGTTCAAGGTGATAACTTTAGCTGCTAGGCCACTGCGCTGAGCACCCAGATTAATTATTAATAGCATCCCTCTTGCCTTGGAAACAGGGCTCTGGCTGCAAGAGAGATTTCATAGGATTTGATGGGAGCATTGGGGGTAGCTGGAAGGTTGGGGAGGGCTGAGGCTGTTCAGCCACACAGGTGCACTGTCTGGGCATCTCTGGGTAAGTTCCCTGGGAGAGGATCAGGACCACAGGTAAGTTTCAGCTTAATGTGAACCAACCATTTTCTTCCTTTGGACTGGACCACGTAGACTGAAAGAACTGGTTGACCGGAAGTTAGAAGCAGATGTTCTGTGTGCCTTCACCCAGTTTGCCCTAAGAGTTTTCTCTTTTGTAACTAGTGCAACTTGCAAACCAGGAAATCTGCCAGGTTCTGTGGCAGTTTGTTAGTTGTATCGAATCCCTAGCCACCAGCACAGTCCATCACCACCCAGGTCTGCCCCCCCAGCACTCTGATAGTCACCTGCCCTTCTCCCCGAACCCCTCCCTCACACCTTCCCCACTTTCCAAAAAAAGAGAGCAAGAAGGAAACATAAAGATCACCCATCTGCTAGCTCACTCCCCACATGGCCACAATGGCCAGGGCTGGGCCAGGCCAAAGCCAGGACCTTCATCCTGCTCTCGCACATGGGTGCAGGAACTCAAGAACTTGAGCCACCCTCCCACATCCTTCCCAGGCACACCAGGCAGCTGCATTGGAAGCAGAGCAGCCAGCACTGCGGGTGGAAGCTAAGGTTTTTTTCTTTTTCACTGATGATAGTTTATTATAATCTGTTAGCAGCACACAGACCAGTGTTCATGAAACCAGAATTAGTCTGCACAGGGGTGGGCAACGCCACGCACGAGAAACTGTCATCCTTCAGACTTTGGATATTGTGCCGCTCAGTCGGCTTGTGATGTTCACCCTCACCCTCATGGTGTCTCTTCAAGGTGGCCAGCTGTTCTTCCGAGCTGTGCAGTCCACTGTTCCTTCGACTATGCCACAGCATTGGCCCCTCGTGGTGAACCTGTTAAAGATCTTTTGAAACTTTTAGGGATGGATTTCAGAATCATGTTGTGCCAATATAAACCTATCATTAAGTTCCATTTTCCACTAAGTTTTTAAAGATTGTTTGGGGAACAGAGCTGTGTCACTTCATATATGGATTTCAGAACATACGATTCCTTTCTTATGTCATGAAAAATTCCTTGTCAGGCCCAGCATGATGGCTCATTGGTTAAACCCTCACCTTGCAAATACCGGAATGCTATATAGGCACTGGTTTGTGTCCCTGCTGCTCCACTTTCCAACCAGTTCCCCTGCTTGTGGCCTGAGAAAACAGTCGAGGATGGTCCAAAGCCTTGGGACCAAGAACCTGTGTGGGAGACCCAGAAGAAGCTCCTGGCTCCTGGCTTTGCATCAGCTCGGCTCTGAGTTGCTGTGTCCACCTGGGGAGTGAACCAGCAGATGGAAGATCTTCCTTTTTTGTCTCTCCTTCTCTCAGTAAACCTACCTTTCCAGTTAAAAATTTAAGTTTTTAAAAGAGAGATAGGGGGACCTGGCATTATATTTCAGTGGCTAAATCCTCACCTTGCAAGCAACGGGACCCCATATGGCACATATTTGTGTCTCGGCTGCTCCACTTCTCACCCAGCTTCCTGCTTGTGGCTTAGGAAAGCAGTGAAGAGTGGCCCAAAGCCTTGGGATCCTGCACACCCACGTGGGAGACCTGGAAGAAGCATTCGGATCAGCTTAGCTCCAGCCATCGTGGCCATTTGGGGAATGAACCAGTAGATAGAAGATCTCTGTTCTCTCTGTAAATCTGATCTACCTTTCCAATAAAAATATTTTTTAATAATAAAAAATTTAAAGTTCCTTTTTGGTGCCAGAATGAGGGACAGTATAATCCATTGATGGGTCTACCTTGGGTGGTGAAGCCCCTCTTCCAATATTGAGCTTTGAACCAACTTCAACTTACTTTCTTTCTTTCTTTTTTTAAGATTTATTTTTATTGGAAAGTCAGGTACACAGAAAGAAGGAGAGACAAAGATTAAGATTTTTTATCCACTGGTTCACTCCCCAAGTGGCCAAGCCATCAGAGCTGAGCTGATTTGAAGCCAGGAGCTTCTTCTGGGTCTCCCACTGGGTGCAGGGACCCAAGGCTTTGGGCCATCTTCGACTACTTTCCCAGGCCACAAGCAGGGATCTGGATGGGAAGTGGGGCTGCCGGAACATGAACCGGCACCCATATGGGATCCCAGCGCATTTGCAAGGTGAAGACTTTAGCCACTAGGCTTCTGTTGTCTTTGGAACCAACCCTTCTGCAGAGAAAAGTTCAGAGGACTCAGTCATGGATCCCCACCCAGCACCCTTTCTTCCGATGATTTCCTTTTAATCCCCATTAGTAGGCTGCTCTCTTCCTCCCCACAAGTGTGGCTTCCCAGGAGCTGGCACAATCAAGTGAGGAATCTGGACACGCATCTGCTGCCCTAGCCTGCTCACACTGGGATTCGATGCCAGTGTGGCCCAGTGGCAATGTTCTTCCTTCTCAGTCTTCCCAGCTTTCTGTATTGACCTTTGCATACTTTATACATGAATAAAAGGAAGTGTGTGCATGTGTGTGAGACTGGCTGCTCTTGAACACAGACCTAGTTGGGGCTTAAAGTGTGCTTGGGCCACCAGCGCTGGAAGGCCCTTAGTGATGGGGATCCCCAAAAAGCAAATGTAATGGCCCTGGTCCCAGAATAAGTTGGGACCTGGGGCTTTATCTGCATCTAAGACCATTTGGGGAAGATGGAAACCACCTAGACCGGAAATGGTGACTCAAGTCTGTGAGAAGCTGACTGAAGGTGGCAAAGCAGCGAGCACCAGCAGGAAGTCCCACCACCAAGGGGCTGCTGTCTGCAGGGCCACCCAGGCTGGAGCTGAAATCAGAGTGAATCTGACCCGTGGAGTGGGTGGCTCTGGGAAGGCCACTGCTATGGACTCCCTCCACTGTGGGAGGGTGAGGGCATGCCGGGCTGTTCCCTAGCTCTCACCCTCTGACTCGCTCTAACTTCTCCTCCCACTGACCAAACCCAGCCTGCAGGGGCCAGCCCCTCTACCCCGTAGAGCCAAGAGAGCTGGGGCCAGGCAGGAAAATGGTCTGAGATATGTGGGCCCACACTAGTGTCAGGCCCAGAATGCCCCAGGCAGGGGTTTGAGTGTGTGTGGAGGGAGGTAAAGGAGGAGGGTAGGAGGGTAAAGAGCCCAGGTTGCTGCCCTGGGCCTTGCCTTGTAACTCAGCATTGCTGGAGGACTGAGCCACAGCGTAGGGCCGGCAGCTGACAGAAGGACATGAGCCAGTCAGAGCCAGACTGGGGATGGGAAGCTGAGGACTTGGTCAGGCCATGCTGCTGGCCTTGACCATATTAGGCATGACCACTACTTCTCTGCCTTCTCCTGTCTGCCAATGCCACAACATCAAAAGTGCTTGGGACCCCAAAGCTAAATGGCCTAGGAAGGGGTCAGGGGAGAGAGCACACCCAGGAGATGCACCTGCCATGGCACTGTCTCCACACATCCCAAGTCTTGCAGAAGTCAGCCCTGGCCATTGTAACCCCTTACCATCCACAGGATCCATGCGCATGAGTTGATTCCCTACACAGCCACCACACCAGATGCAAAACCCCCTCCACTGCCCTGAGCTGGCCCACAGCTGGCCATTCCCTCCGACTGTTCCCTTAGAGCCTGCTTGGCAGAACTGTGGCCTCCCTCCCTCAGCCGCACCCTCCAAGGCTGCCCAGCTTGGTTTGGAACCAGTGTGACCCAAAGCAGACAGCGACTTTAACTTCCTCGTTGCAGCAGCACCGTTCTCGCCCTCACCTGACTCTACATTCCTGGCCGCCATGCGTAGTCAGACAGGCTCATCTGCTTACCCTGCCTGAAGCAGCAGGAGGAGCACCGACCCCAGGAACTCGTAGGCAGCCCCTTGGGAGCCATATATTACCCAGCACGGACTCTGGCTCTCGTGGTTCTCACGGACAGCCATACCAGGACATGTAGCCCTGCCTCATTCTTCTTTGTCTTTTTCAAGTAGTTCTTCCTTTGGTATATTACAGTGGTGGCGACATACATATATGACATACAATTATGTTTTATATATATATAGCATACAATTCACCATTTTAACCATTTGCACAGCAATTTGGTGGAGTGGTAGGTGTTGTGGCACAACGGACTAAACCACTGCTTCGATTGCCCACATCTCGTGTCAGAACGCAGGTTCAAGTCCATCTGCTTCTGATCCTACTTGCTACTCATGGGCCTGGGGTCCCTGTCACCAAGGTGGGAGACCTAGATCGAGTTCCTGGCTCTGGCTTTGGCGTGGCACAGCCCTGGCTGTTGGGGGGTGCATTTGGGATGTGATCCAGTGGGTAGCAGATCTTCCCTCTCTCCCTCTGTCACTCTGCCTTTCAAATGACCAAAGTAAGTCATTCTTTCTCTAAACTTTTTAAATGTCCTTCTTTTGGAGGCAGACAGATCTCCTAGCCATCTGCTGGTTCACACTCCGAATGCCAGCAATGATCAGAGTTGGACCCAGAGGCCAAAGTCAGGAGCCAGGAATTCTATTTAGGTCTCCCTTGTGGCTGGCAGGAATCCAGTTACTTGAGCTGTCGCTGGGGTACCCTGGGACGTGCATTACCAGGAAGCTGGGATTAGGCTGGGGTTTGAACCTGGGGACTCTAGGACAGGATGTGAGCATCCCAAGCAGTGGCTTCCCCACTGCGACGAACGGCCACCCCAGCCATCTTTGTGAACCCGCTCTCAGGGGGTCGTCATTTTTCTCACATTGAATATTGTGGTTCTCCTGACTGGTACACGTCAGCTTCAGCTGCTTCTTTCTCTCTAGGCTCATGCAGAGTCGAGTAAAACTTGGCTGACGGGGAAATTCACTGAACTCCGATTACTGCTTGATGAAGAGGAAGCTCTGGCCAAGAAGTTCATTGACAAAAACACACAGCTGGCTCTGCAGGTGTATAGGGAGCATGTCGAGTCTTGTGAGGAGCACATTGATGTCCTGAACAAGCTCTCCAACAGGGTCTGGGGCATCAACCAGGAGTCCAATCCTGTGCAGCTGCTGCAGGTATGGCCCAGGAGTGGGGGGTCTCTGTCCTTACAGCTGCCACTTGCCAGCAACATGCCATCAGAGTCCTGGCAGCATGGGACATGGGGTTGGCATGCTAAATAAAGGCCCAGGAATCAGAGGCCTCTGTGTCCCAACACAAGGGGCCAGAGTGCACGCATGCGTTGTTAAGAAGTTGATTAGATAATAATACAGGCAGCCACCATTGTCCCGGGCCTATGTGTACCAGGTACTTTCTATAGCTTAGCCCTAATATGTACTAATTGGAGTGGCTATTTCCAACCCATTTTGTGAATGAGTAGTTGAGGCAGGCTGCTCTGGCCCAGGGAGCAAAGCTGGGGTCAAAAGCTAGGCCCAGCTGATCCTCTCAGCCCACTGGGCACATAGCTTGGCCCTCTGCCTGGGAATATCCCTTCAGCATCTACAAGTTGTTCCTGGGAGAGAGGACAGTTCTCCATGGCCTTTGTCGAGGAATCTGAAGGGGGATCCTGTGATAGTCATAGCTGTGGTTACTTATGGGCAGCTCTCTATCTAAGGAACCTTGAAAGAGTTTCCATTCGGTGTCAGGGCCATTGTGCTATCACCTGTGCCCTAGGAGTCCCTTCCTACCCATTTAACTGCCTGTTTCCTTCTTTGTCCTGGCTCCTGGGGAACTCAAAGCCACGATGCTTCAGCTGGCTAAGAGGAGACGTCATGGCACACCCTGTGTGTTTCATCGCAATCTGGCTTCTGGCTTAGTTCGTTAGTCTTAAGTTTCTCACTGTAAAGGAAATTCTTCCAATATTACAAGACCTCTGTAAGGTGCTTTAAAGGCTGTGGCACAAGAAAGGGTACAACTAACCATTGCTGGAAAACGAGACAAATATATGCATTCATGCAAAACCAGCGAGACTGGTTCCCAGAGGGGCAGGTTAGGGGGTACTTTTTCTACACAGCTGGGCCTGCCAAATGCTGGGCCCCAACAGAGATACTGGTGGCCAGGAGCTGAGTAGGGACTGTAGGAGTGGGGCAGACAGGAGAGAGAGGCTACAGGTGACCAGCAGGCTCAAGGATGTAACACACGGTGACATCCGGCCTCCCAGTTGACTACGCTCAGGTCAGAGTCCCTGGGCTTGATTCCAGCTTCCTCCTGATGTGCTCCCTGGCAGGTAGTGGAGATGGCTCAAGTCACTGGGTGGCCTAGATCAAGTTCCTGGCTCACAGCTTTCACAGGTGTTTTGGGTATGAACTGGAGAATGGGAATGCGTACTCTCTCACACATTAATGATTGAAAAAGAGATGCGCAATGGGAATTAGAATTGGAAATGAAAGATGAGTAGTGGATGCTGGGGCTTCTGGCCTTGGAGACGGGAGCCCAGCGGGTTGTTTTCCCACATCTGCTCAGGTACACTGCTGTGTCCCATTGCACGGTGTGTAGATCATACTCTGAGCTGGAGGCTGGAGTGAGCGGTCACCAGGTGCTGGCACCTGTCCTCCATCAGACCACAGTCCTACCCCACCCATCTGTCATCTGGGCAGTTCTTCATGTCCCCAGGGCTGCCCCCTGTGCTCCCTGGGATGTGGCCTGTGTGGGGAGGCTGGGCTGCAACAGCCCTGACTCCCAGTCATCCCTCCTACACCTGCCCATAGGCATACTCGGCTGTGGAGCAGGAGCTGCAGCGGCACATGAGCCTCGGGGAGCTGAGCCACCCGGTGCCCTTGTCCTTCGAGCCCGTCAAGAACCTGTTTAGGGGCCTGGCCGAAGCCCTGCACAACACCTTGCAGACACCACTGGATGTGCGCCTGAAGGAGAGTAAGTCCTTTGTGGTCTCAGCTCCCTCCCTCCTACACAGAGGCCTTGGGCTGGGTAGGTTGAGAGTTTCAGGCCTTGTGCTCAACCCAACCCCTAAGGTTTGGACTTCCTGGTCTTCCTAAGTTGCGGACCTACCTCTCTCCAGCCAACTGTCTGTGCTGCTGCTGTACCTGGACTGCCACTGGCCTCCCCACCTTACCTCAGCCTGGCTTGCTCTGGGCTCCCAATCTCCAGGGCCAACTCCTCCTCCTCCCCTTGTTTGGGCCAAACCCCACCTGCCCTGTGAGGTGGGATGGCCCAGCTGAGAAGCCCACCCTTCCTCCAAGCCATTTCCCCTCTTCTACCCTTCTCTTTCCAGGGTCCATCCCCATGGCCTACCCAAGGACACAAGGATCTCCCTCCTTGCTCCTGGGACACATGTGAGGGCCCACGCTGGGTCCAGCTCAGCGGCCCTGCAGGTGGCACTAAGTGAGCCATCAGAAAGACCTCTCTCCCTCGAGTCACTGACTATTAGGGGCCATGTACTGGGCACAAAACCAAGCTCTGGCATAGTGTGTGTGAGTGTGGGGGGAACCTGGGAAGGGTATTTCACAGGCACAGGCAAGTCCCAAAGCCTTGGGGTGCCAGCTTGGTATACTGGGGAAGAATGGTGATGGGTGGGGGATGTAAGTGGGGAAGGAGGATGAGATAAGAGACAGCTGGGATAGGCTCAAGTGTTCTGATGTAATGCAAGAAAGGAAGCTGTCATTTCTAAAATAGGAAAGAGCTTTTGGGATGGGAGGGAAGCAAGGGTTTGGGGGCTGTTAGCTTTGGGAATTCCCACCTGCTAGATAGTGAAGTCCTGCAGGGAACAGGATCTGGTATTTTAGAGTGCTGGGGGAGGAGTCCTACTGCTGTCATCCACCGCACTGCAATGAGTGCTGGGGTGGGGATGGGCAAGGAGCCACTCAGACTGGCTCGCTTGGTGAGGATGGGGCAAGTTATGTGAGGAACTGCAGTCCATATCAGCTGGGAAGAAAGCAGCTTGAGCAAGGCCTGGTGGGCAGGGGTGGGGTTGGCGGGGAGGTGTCAGGTAAAAGGCAAGAGCAAGTGCAAGCGACCTGTATGTCTTTCTGAACTCCCCACTCCCACTTCCTGTTTGCTCTCTTCATCCTTGGCTGTGGATCCTCAGCATCCCTGGCCCAGCCTCCCTCACACCGGCCTGCACTGCTGTCTTGTCATCATGAACTTGGGGGAGGTAGCAGGGTGACAGGGGAGAGGCTGTGAATTCACAATTCCTTTTTAGACCTACCTCTGGTGTTATGGGAGGGAGTAAGTCTGTGTTAGAATCTGCACCAGCTGTCTGAGCTCTGGGCACTGATTTGTTACCATTTGTTGCAGATGTGAACTGCCAGCTCTCCGGGCCTTCCTGCCCCAAGCCAGGTGCCTTGTTGAAAACAGGTCCTTCTCCAGAGAGGTCTCTGTTCTTAAAATGTAAGACCCGGGTACCAGGAGGGGCTGGACGCGGTGGGGTGCTGCCAGGGTAGAGAGGATCACGTTAAAGTATGACGGAAGTAATGCATGTTCATTATAGACAAGTTAGAGGGTCAGAGGGAAAAAATCCCTCACAATCCCTCTGCTGTAGATTATAGTCCTTCAAGGGTTGTTTTTGTTTTGTATGGCTGAGATATTTGCAATAATGTCTTTTTTTTGCAAACATGGTGTCATACTAAACATACTGTCTTGTAATCTGCTTATATTTGCTGATATATTGTGAACATCTTAGTTTTCTTAAAGAAATTACACATCGGTGATGCACGTGTCTTGTGGTGGAACAGAAGTCCCAGAAACAGGCTGTTCTGTTTGTGGCGGATGATCTGCCTGCCGTCTGGGAGCAGATGTGACATGGCTTCAGAAAGTTTGCAAGGATGCAGAGCATCTTTTTTTTTTTTTAAGATTTATTTATTTTTATAGGAAAGGTGGATATGCAGAGAGAAGGAGAGACAGAGAGGAAGATCTTCCATCTGATGGTTCACTCCCCCAAAGAGCCGCAATGACTGGAGCTGCGCCGATCTGGAGCCAGGAGCCAAGAACCTCTTTTGGGTCTCCCACACAGGTGCAGGATCCCAAGGCTTTGGGCCGTCCTCAGCTGCTTTCCCAAGCCACAAGCAGGGAGCTAGATGGGAAGTGGGGCTGTCAGGATTAGAACCAGTGCTCATATGGGATCCCGGCACATGCAAGGCAAGGACTTTAGCCACTAGGCCACTGTGCAGGGCTCGGGAATGCAGATTATTTTTTAATTCCACTCTCCCATAAGCTCCCTCAAGACACGCTTGTATATACCTGATTTTATTCCAGTGCTATATCATATTCCAGATACTGGTTAGCTCATGTTTGACTATTTTCTAGTAGTAATTGCTCCAAATGGAAATACTAGGCCAACTTTTTTTCAATTCTTAAAATGTAAAATGCATACATTGAAGTACACCTAAGAAAGTGCAGCCTTTAAAAATTTTTTTAAGATTTATTTTCACCAGAAAGACAGATTTGCAAAGAGAAAGACACGAAGATCTTCTACTTACTGATTTACTCCCCAAATGGCCACAACAGCCAGAGCTGAGCTGATCTGAAGTCAGAAGCCAAGAGCTTCTTCCTGGCCTTCCACACAGGTGCAGGGTCCCAAGCCTTTGGGCCATCCTCCATTGTCCTCCCAGGCCACAAGCTGGGTGGGAAGTGGAGCGTCCAGGACACAAACCAGCGCCATATGGGATACCATGCTTGGAAGTGGAGGATTAGCCTCTTGAACCATTCATGTTCATTTACAAGCTGCATGTCCTAGACAGTGCTTCAGACAAGAAAAAGAAATCAAAGGGGAGGATACAGATTGGGAAGCAGGGAGGAAAAAGGCCACTCTTCATAGATGGCATGGTTATTTTCAGAAACCAACCTCTCCTTCCACTCCCAGAATCCAGAAATAAGAAGTGCTAAGTGGATTTAGGACAGGTTACAACATTGGTGCACAAAACTAAACTGTATTTCTATATATTAGGAACAATTAGAAAATAAAAGTGCAAAAGTATTACTTTCCATAAATTTTTCTTGGAAACCAGGAAGATACCTAACAGGTGATGTGTTCAGAAACCCCCGAAGGGGGAACAGTGGCCAGCACAATGGAGTTGTGCCCGCTCCTGCGTTGAGCCCCTTCCTGTCTGTCTTCTTCTGTGCTGGTGTCACAAAAGCAAACAGCTCGGTGACTCAGAACCACTCCAGTTCTGTCACCATATGCTGGGACCCAAGTCCCACCAGAACCTCACTGGGATGAAATCCCCGCGAGGCCTGCTTTCTGGAGGCTGGGGCGGAGAGCCCCTTGCCCTCTGCTGTTCCTTCGCAGCAGCAGCAGCTGCCTCTGTTCCCTGGCTCCTGCCCATCCTGTCTTCAAAGTCACCGGCATTCTGTTTGTCTGGCCTGGCTCCTTGCTGTCTCCCTCCTCCTCATTTGATGGCTCTGGTGAGTATGCTGGGTCCACCCAGATAATCCAGATCGATTTCTCGTTCTGGGAGGTCAGCCAAGGAGTGACCGTGACTGCTGTTTGCTGTGTAACCTGCCAGTGGTTATAGATGCCACAGGCTGTGGGGCTCTGCATCCCACACTCACTCTCATAAAAATGACAGTTCTTCCCAACTGATCCATAGATTCCATCTAATCCCACTCCAAGTGTGAGGAGATTTTATGTGTGTGTGTACGTGTGTGTGACATAAACTCTATGTACAGATAAGATGGATAGAGAATAGCTGTTACTGCTAGAAGAAGCGCAAGATTTAAAGTTCAGAAGTATATTTACACATTTGATCACTAGGATTTTTTTTTTTTGACAGGACGTACATGACGGTAGAGAGGAGAAATAGTACCCACTGGGGGTGGGCTTTGATCCCACTCGGGGTACTTGCATCCCACACTGGAATGCCAGGTCTGACTTCCAGCCTGGTTTTCTGCTAATGCTTCTGCTACTACCCCAGCAGATGATGGTGCAGCTTCTGGGTTCCCACCACACCCAAGTATGAGACCCAGATGGAATTCCTGGCTCCCAGCTCCTGGCTCCTGCCTTTGGCCTGACCCAGCCCTGACTGTTACAGGCATTTGAGGAATGAACCAGCAGAAGAAAATCTCTCTCTTTTTTAAATTGAGGTTTATTTTTTTATTGGAAATGCATATTTACAGAGAGGAGGAGAGACAGATCTTCTGTCCACTACTTCACTCCCCAAATGGACACAATGACCCAGAGCTGAGCTGATCGTAAGCCAGGAGCCAGGAGCATCTTCTGGGTCTCCCACACAGGTTCAGGGTCCCAAGGCTTTGGGCTGTCCTTACTGCTTTCCTAGGGCACAAGCAGGGAGCCGGATGTGAAGTGGAGCATCTGGGACACAAACCAGTGCCCATATGGGATCCCAGCAGATGCAAGGTGAGGATTTAGCTACTAAGCTATCACACTGGGCCCCTGTTTCTCTTAACCCCTCTGTCATTCTGCCTATCAAATATTTTTAAAATAGTTTTTAGGGAATAATGTAAAAGAAATCTTATAACCTTGGGACAGGTAGAAGTTCTAGAAACAGGACATAAAACACAGTGACTGCAAAGTGGACTTTAAAAAGTTAAAAAAGTTTTGTTCATCAAAGCACACTCAATAGAGGGCAGTGTTGTGGCATAATAAGGTAAAGCTGCCGTCTGCAGCTCTAACATCCCACGTAGCTGGTAGAAACAGCAGAGGGTGTCTCAAGTCTTTAGGGTCCCTGCACCCATGTAGGAGACCCAGAAGACACACCTGTCTGCTGGCTTCAGACCCGGCTGGTGCAGCCATTTTGGAAATGAGCCAGCAAATGGAAGATATTCTCTCTCTCTTGTTTTTACATATAATTGCCGTTATTTGAAAGGCAAATTTACAGAGAGAAGAAGTGACAGAGGTGTCTCCCCAATGGCTGCTCTGCTCAAGAGCTGAACCAATCCAAAGCTGGCAGCCAGGAGCCTCCTCTGAACTTCTAGACATCCGTAAACAAAATATAAAGGTCAGTCAAAGATTTTAACAGGTGTGTGCCAAAGAAGGGAGATCCAAATCGCCAACACAGCCATGAAAGATGTTCAATAAAATTAGGGAAACACATGAAAAGCTCGATGAGAACACTGATGCTGCAATACCACTGTTGACCAGTAGGAGCAGTAGCAGTCTCCGTCCATGGCTGTCAGGAGTGAGCAGTGCGTGTCCCTGTCAGGAGTGAGCAGTGTGTGTGTCCCTGTCAGGAGGGAGCAGTGCGTGTCCCTGTCAGGAGTGAGCAGTGCGTGTCCCTGTCAGGAGTGAGCAGTGTGTGTCCCTGTCAGGAGGGAGCAGTGCGTGTCCCTGTCAGGAGTGAGCAGTGTGTGTGTCCCTGTCAGGAGTGAGCAGTGTGTGTGTCCCTGTCAGGAGGGAGCAGTGTGTGTCCCTGTCAGGCCAGCAGTGTGTGTCCCTGTCAGGAGGGAGCACTGTGTGTCCCTGTCAGGCCAGCAGTGTGTGTCCCTGTCAGGCCAGCAGTGTGTGTCCCTGTCAGGCCAGCTGGTGCTGGTTGAACTTTCACATCCCCAGAATTTCAACACTAAGCTTGTTGTCACTATGCATAGTGTGTCTTCCTCTGAGAGCTATCAACAGGAGTGTAAATGACAGCCAAGATTGTGAAGAATATTAACAAGAAGCCTAATTTTTAAAAAAAGTGTGGAGGGTGGCAAGGGGTGGCATTCTTACCCAGCAAATCCTCCCTCACCGCTATGTCCAAAAGTAGCAATCAGATAGCACTAAAATCACATCTGTGTTTCCAAAAGCTTATACATGTATGTGTGTGTGTGTGTGTTGCCTAAATGGTAATGTTTCAGAAAGGACACATCCTAACATATCTGTAAATTAAGACGTCAGTGTCATCACTCAAGTGCTATTGCAAAAGACTACCTGATAGGGTCAAACGTTCATGAATGTATCAGTAGACTTTCAGCAGCAGATGGCTCCAAAGCATGTATGGTATGACACCACTACCGGGCAGCTAAAGGTGAAAAAAAAAAGATTGTCAGGACACGTCCCCAAGTATCGACAACAACCGGATAGTTACTTAATGACATTTTTGGAAACTGACAGCAAAGTTTCACAGCACCAAACAGAAACAGGTGTAAAGGATGGTCAATGACCATCCCGTCCCGCAAGCCTTCTCCTGGGTTGTAGGGGGCGCCCTGGGACAGCAAAGATGGTGTTGAATCGCGCCTGGGCTGGTGATCTGTGCCCGGCACCTGTGTGCGTTGGGGCAGGGGGCGCAGCGCTGGCCCAGCCCCCAGCGTGACCGTGTCCCTGTGTCTCCTCAGATGCACGCACGCCTACGCTCGACCCGGACACGATGCACGCCCGCCTGCGCCTCTCGGCCGACCGCCTGACGGTGAGCTGCGCCCTGCTGGGCCGCCTGGGCCTGGCGCCCGCTACGCGCTTCGACGAGCTCTGGCAGGTGCTGGCCCGCGACTGCTTCGCCGCCGGCCGCCACTACTGGGAGGTGGACGTGCAGGAGGCGGGCGCCGGCTGGTGGGTCGGCGCGGCCTACGGCTCCCTGCGGCGCCGCGGAGCCTCGGCCGCTGCCCGCCTGGGCTGCAACCGCCAGTCCTGGTGCCTGAAGCGCTACGACCTCGAGTACTGGGCCTTCCACGACGGCCAGCGTAGCCGCCTGCGGCTCCGCCACGACCCCGACCGCGTGGGCATCTTCCTGGACTATGAGGCCGGTGTCCTGGCCTTCTACGACGCAACGGGTGGCATGAGCCACCTGCACACCTTCCGCGCCACCTTCCAGGAGCCACTCTACCCTGCGCTGCGGCTCTGGGAAGGGGCCCTGAGCATCCCCCGGCTGCCCTGAAGGGGCGGAGACGGCAGCGATGCCACCGCCCCGTCTAGGCCCTCTCCATGGCCAGGGCCTGTCCAGTGTTTTGGATGGTTTTTCTCCTAGGCTAATTTGAAGCTGTAAACAATGGGGGAAGAGGTGTTCCCTTAGTTAAGGTTTAAGAAAGGTGCATACCCCTCAGGTGAATCCTCTCTGCCTTGGAACACGCCCCCTACTCTGCTGGTCCATAGTAGGCACTCCGTGGAGATCTGTGGGTAAGTAATCACCCCTCTCCCAGGTCTTGTGGCCCTTAAGGTTCCTGGAAGCTGCTAGATCCTCCCTGCCTCCCCATCCCTGCAAGAGCCTCCTAACACTTCATCTTCTCCCATCTTCATCTTCCACCCTAAAACCAGGGTGATTGGCCTCAAATGTCGCATAACCCTTTGGAATAGTCCTCTCCCAAGACTGCAGAAAGGGTACAAAAAGACAGCACATCCCCTTCCCCATCCCCGGGGGCTGTCTGGCTCTGGCTTCTCCGTAAGGCCCTCTCTCTCAGCTGTTGCTTGCGTTGCTACTGTGTTCCCACACATCCAGCAGGGACACTCATTTAGGAAATCCTATGCTTAGAATCTTCAACTGTGGGAGTCATCCCCAGGCTTACCTGTCCCCAGACTGCGTCCTCTCCGCCCGCCATCTCCCTACCCTCCCACGTGGCGGGGGCACAGAGATGTCCCTTTCTTGACTGACAGAGCTGTGAATTTGGAACCCTATCTTGGCCACCAGATTGGAAGCTTTCTTCATGGCCCACCCTGTAAGGTAACACTGACAAGGGAGTGAATGGCCAGCAGGCCAGCAGCTGGCACAGAGAGCAGCTGAGCTGAGCTGATGTGTGGTGTTATAGCCAGTGGAATTGGAGTGCCTTTTTCTGTCTCCTGACATTTTTTGTTCAGAGCCAGGTGCTGCCTTAGGAACAGGTTTCTTGAAACAAAGTCACAGAACCAGAGAAAACCCAAGGAGCAACCCTTGCTCTCCCCACTGCCTCCGGTGTCTGGCCTTGGGTCCTGGAGACTCTGAACCCTGGGCTGTCAGGTTATCGAAGTTGGGGGCATGATAAAGCATCTTTTGGGGTCCGGGTTCCCTGCTGGGGCCAGAGGCAGGAGGGAGAATGGGCGGAAATGGCCCAGCCAGATGGTGGTTCCCACATACCTGGCACCTTGGTTAATCTGAACCGTGGATCTCTGCCCTGTTGTCTGGTGGTATGGACTTAAAGAAAAAAAAATGGCACTTTTCTTGTGGGACGAAGCGCACTGGGCTGCAAGGGATGAGGGACCTTGGGGGTGTCAGAGGCACTGGAGCTGGGTAAGGTCCACGTAGGCCAAGGTCACAAAGTCCTGCCTGCCTCACCACCACTGGCTGGGAACTAGGAGTTAAACCCTGTTCTAAACAGTGCAAACTGGAAACACAGAAGTCACTTGCCCATGGTCACAGAGCAAGTGTCTAGGCCTAGACTATGGCTCCAAGTATGTGCCCGCGGGCCACAGGCCCTGCCCTTCAGCTGGCCTCTGGTCTGTTCCTCATCTGCCTTGACTCCTTGAGGCCCTACCCATGTTTTGCTTTTTCCTGGTTGGCATGATTGTACCTTTGTCCTGCTTTCCTGGGGCTGCAAGGTGAGACCTTGTACCCAAACAGGGGCAGGGACTAAATTGGGTTTGAGATTCCTGAGTTGGGATAGAAAGGACAGTAACTGGCTCTGTGACAGCCAGCAAACTGCTGCCCTGTTCCCCATAATTAACTGTGTGAACTCAAGGGAACCACTTTTTCCTCTTGTCACCTGTGAATTGGGGTGGGGTGGGATGGGAAAGTCACGACTCTAGGTGCTGTGAAGCACAAATGAACTTTCCCTTGAAGTTTAGTGCCAGGCTGGGATCTCAGCCTCTAGCAGAGCTACCACTACACACTGTGCCCCGCTGTCACATGGTAGGAGCAGGAGTGTCCCTGGGGTCTGTGTCTTGGAGGGTGCTGATGGCTGACCTCATTCTCCCAAGGTGAATCTAAAGAAAGGTCCTTACTGATCGGGCTTGTTAATGACAGAGGCTTCCCTGCTATGTGGCTTTGTCGTAATAAAGTATGAACACTGTCCAGTGGAACTGTATTCGTTTTGGGGAGTCCGAGTTGCTTCAAGGACATAACACTTAGGCTGTCATTCATCTCCCCATCTGCTCCATCCACCGCTGGCCTGGGGTGGCCAACAGGTCCCCTGATTATCAGGGAGAGTGCTGCCTCAGAAGAGAGCAGGCTGAGGGCTTCTGTGGAAACACACCCTAGCCTGACCATCCCCACCTTCTGTCTCTGCTGCTCCTATCCAAGGTAACTATGTGTTGCTTTGGCATCTATGGGCCTACCCTTCAGTCACCCTGCAGCCATCTGGTCACATAGTAATCCTGAGATCTTAGGGAGCCTCCCTGCCTTAGGGCATCAGCCCCACTGTTCTGCAATTCCACTGTGCAAGTGACCTCAGCCTAGGAAAAAGCTCAGACTTGTGGGCTGCAGGTTCTATACAGACACAGGGACAGCCTGCGCAATGAGGCCAGGTGGGGGCCAGCATTGTGGCCACAGCAGGGAAAGCCACTTCCTAGCATGCCTATGCAACAGCACCTGTTTGAATGCCAGCTGCTCCACTTCCAAGCCAGCTTCCTGCTGATGCTCCAGGACAGGAAGCAGGAGGACCAGGTACTCAGGGTGCCTACTATTCCCGTGGGAGTTCTGGTTTCCTAGCTTCATCCTAGCCCAACTGTTGAGGCAGGGAGATTGCTTAGTCTCTGTCTTCCAAACAAAACAAAACCCTTGCTTATTCAACATTGCCATCATCCACTACTTCTGCAGGTGCCTCGGCAGGGAGCTGAGTTGGGAGCAGAGCTGCTGAGACCAGGAATGGTGCTCCAATATGGGATGCTGGTGTTGGAAGTGGAGCTTACCTAGCTGTGCCAACAACAGCTCTGCCTGCCCCCCAACCAAGTATTTGTACCATTACCTGCTGCCTTTCCAGAGCACACAAACACAGGAAGCTGGGATGAAGAGGGGACCTGGATTTGGGAACTGAGGCTCTCTGACACGAACAGGGTACGGATGTTCCAGGTGGGGTCTTAACCTCTGCACTAAACACCTGTTGCTCCACTTTTCTTTTGAGCCCACTCCCCTTCTGGGTCAGCCAAACTGCCACAGGACACACACTGCCATAGTTTGTTCTCTCTCTCCTGGGGCCTTGTCCAGAGAGACAGTCTCGAAGAGGTAGACAAGAGCTAGGCCCTCTGGAGACCATCTCTGCCCCACCTCTGCCAACATACCCATCATCCCAGCAAGGCAACTGGGAATTCAGAAAATGGCACTTTATTTTAAGACTTGATTTTTTTGCCATGATTTTCTACTGCTTCTTCCAAGATGGTATCATCCTCTTCAATAGTGACCAACACCTTCTTGCCCACAAGAGTAAAGATATCTTCGGGGGCACAGCCTTTGGGCTCCCCCACCTTCACAGTGAGCATGTCCAGTGTCAAGACGGTGCCTTCTGGGATCTTCACTTTGGCCACCACGGACTTGCCCAGCTACCGAAAGAAAAAGAAGTTACACTCAAAAGCAGCTCCTTGCCAATCACTTTACACCCCCAGGTCTCTGATGGGTCCCCTGCCAGGGCACCCCAAGAGCAGGACTCTGGCATGCACCGCCCACCACACCACAGCACCCAGCACAATTTCTCATCCGCATAGGGATTCAGTCTAGTGCAGGTGCAGGGTCATTATAGCAAAGTAGAAAGGAGAGGCCTCAGGCTGGGAAGGTGCAGGTCTAACGGCCCAGCAGCTGGGAATAAGCTGGGCCTGCTGTCTCTATAAAATGGAAAGCAACAGTGTCTGCATCTTGTTGGATGAGGACTCGTGATCACATGCAAATGGGCTTTGCATGGAAGAAGTTCCGTGTGTGCAAGCTGCCATTCCATCTGCCCAGTGTCTGGTAAAGGTAGGGAAATGGGGACCCTCAGAAGGCAACAGACTCAGCGGGGGTGGCCAACAGCCAGGATGAGGCCTTAAAGAGGATGGAGGTTCCAATTCCTGGCCCACTGCTCTCGGGACAGAACACCTGTTCCTCCTCTGTGGAGTAACATAGTGCTCAGAAGAGACAGTTGGTGTGACCACCCCTCAGATGACAGGAGAGCAGCCCTGAGGCAGGGCCAGTAAAGGCACGGGCGCCGGGAAGGAAGGATCCTGAAGGGTGTGCACAACCAATGCCTTTGTCCTTGTCTTTCACAGAAGCGCTTTAAAATAAACCCCCACCATTACTATTTGGCATCTCGGAGGATCCAGTTCTGCTGGGAATTCAGTGCCAGGAACCAATGTCCCCCAACTGATGTTGGTCAAGTTGTGCACCCCTAACTATTTTACCGTGCAACTTATAGCCCAACTCTCATGCTGCTTCCCGGCACAATCTGCCTGGTGTTCCTCTGTAAGGCGCTGTTTCTCCATACTGCTCTTTAAGTTCCCCAGTCCTCGTGCGTTGTTCCATTGGCAGCCAGTTCATGGGTCCCTTTACAAACACGGATGCCAGCATCCACCTTCACCCATGACCTTGACAGCCCATTGCAGGTCAGCAGTGTCTGCCTGTCAGGCAGCCTCGCCTGCCCCACTGTGTGCCTGATGTCTAGGAAGTCAGTATGCCAAACAACAGTCCTGGGCGTCACTACCCTTTCTGAAGGTCAGGGCCATGCAAGACATGTTTACACCACTGCCCCATGCCCTACAGTGACCACTGCCCCTCTCCAGGACCTCCCTTCCCAGGCAGCACCAGCCTCTGCTACTGACTCTCGGGCCTGCTCATGTCTCCTGCTCTCCTGCTCCAAAGACTCCAGACTGGACCCAGCCCAGGGCCACAGCCCCTTCCATGAGCAATCTAGAAGTCTCTGGGATGTAGTTGGAAGACTCATGATTCTAGGAAGCCAGAGAAAGTGCTAGAACTCCCCTTAAGTGATGCACTTTTCCAGCTGCCTGAAGAAGCCCAGAGGGACTAGAGTGACAGCCCTCTCTGAGCTGCCTGGCTTACTCAGCTCGGGTCGGTCCCTGGGTCTTCACTGCGAGTGAATGCACCATATGTCCCATCTCTCCCACCCTGAGAACAGGCCGGAGCCACCAGGACCCACCTTCTCATTGCAGGCCATCTCACAGGGCAGCAGCTGCTTTGTCGGGGAGCCTAGGGCCCGCTCCACCAGGCGCACGGAACGCACCAGCTCAGCCAGCTCACTGGGCTCCAGGGAGGCTGCATGGTCACTCCCCTTCCAGGTCTTATCCAAGGTTATATGACGCTCCAACACCTTGGCCCCCAGGGCCACGGCGGCCACAGATATTGCGATGCCTGTTTCATGTCCAGAGTACCCTATGGGAATGTCAGGAAAGAGCTTCTGATATTCCTGAAAGAAATAAAAAGGACAAAAGAGGTTTTGTCAGTGTGGGAGTTTATGCAGCCCCCTAGAATCAGGCAGATCAGCTTAAAATTATTGAAACAGCATGGAGAAAGACACCATTTACCCACTGGTTTATTCCCCAAGTGCCTACAATAGCCACGACTGGGTCAAGACGAAACTGGGAGCTGGGAGATCAATCTGGGAATCCCACTTGGGTGGCAGGGACTTGAACCATCACTTGTTGCCTCCCAGAGTAAAAGAGCAGGTGCAGGACTCAGCAGCAGGGCCAGAGCAGAGCACAGGCACTCAGATATGGAAGCAGCCATTCCAAGCACAGCATCTTTGCCACTGTATCACACACTTGCCCTGGGCTATGCAGTCATGGGTGAGGAGCCCTGGTCCTCCTTCCCAAGAATGACACTAGGTCCTGTTCTGGGCTGCTGGAAATAGATGAAAGGCACTCAGCGTACTGAGGAAATGACCCGCCACAATGTTAATATATACAATTAAAAATGAATATGGTGGGGCCTGGCATGGTGGCCTAGTGGCTAAAGTCTTCACTTTGCATGTGCCAGTTCAGGTCCCAGCTGCTCCATTTCCCTGTATGTGGCCTGGGAGCTGTAAAGGATGGCCCAAAGCCTTGGAACCCTGCATCTGCATGGGAGACCTGGAAGAAACTCCTGGCTTCAGATCGGCATAGCTCTGGCTGGTGCAGCCACTTGGGGAGTGAACCAGCAGACGGAAGATCTTTCTCTCTGTCTCTTTCTCTGTAAATTTGACTTGCAATAAAAAATAAATAAATCTTAAAAAAGAAAGAATTTGGTGGCCAGCATTATGGTGTGCCTGGTAAAGCTGCCACCTCCAGTGTCAACATCCTGTTTAGGCACTGGGTTCAAGTCCTGGCTGCTCTACTTCTGATCCTCATTCTGCTAATGGCCTGGGAAGCAGCGGAAGATGGCTCAAATCCATGAGCCCCTGCATCCAACGTAGGAGACCCAGACGAAGCTCCTGCCACCCTGACTTCAGCCTGGCTCAGCCCTGGCCATTGCAGCCACTTGGGAAGTGAACCAGAGATTACTTCACTGTCTGTAGTGCCAGTATAGCACAGGGGCACCAGTTCAAGTCTCAACTGCTGCACTTCCAATCCAGCTCCTTATTAATGTGCCTGGGAAAGCGGCAGAGGATGCCCAGGTGCTTGGGCCCATGGCCCACAGGGAAGACCTGAAAGAAACTCCTGTCTCCTGACTTCAGTCTGGCTTAGCCTCGACCATTCAGCAGCTGGGGAGTGGGAAAAAAAAAAAGAAAAAAAAAACTCCTGTTCCATTTAATTAGCCTAAGCTGCTAAAAGCAAGTGTGTAATATACACAAATATCACCATCTATAATATATACAGTATAATCTCAACACACAGCCCCTTAGTGGAGATGCTAAATAATTAATCAGTTATACATAGCTCACAGAAAGTAGCAGAAGATGGTCTAAGATGGGTGAGGCTTCTTAGTGAGGGTGCTTAAGTGCAGCAAAAAGGACTTGGGTGGAGGGTAAGGCTAGATCGGGTGGTGAGGGCCTCGAATGGCAAGCTTGAGGACCATGTGACAGGGTGATGGGGCAGAAATTCAAATTGCTGACATGTTTCTGGGCTGGCATAGAGAGCACACGTGACCGCAACTCAGGTGGGGACAGGAGGGAAT